CACTGAAGTTGACGCCGTAACCTCGAAATCTCTAAAATGCTTCTGATTGGCTCATCCATAAATTAGAGTCTCGCCGTTTTTGTTTTTATGTCACTCCCAAAGACATCAATTTAAGCTACAAAACCCCATTAATAAATTTCATTGTAGATAAATTCTCTCATGAATAATTTCATCTTTAAAAAAATTTTTTTGTGTGGATTATTTCATTTCCTCATTTTTAGATTTAACACAAATAATACCAGGAAAATACGATTCAGTACATGAAAATTTATCGACAAAACAATCGGATGAAACAATTATTAAACGTTTAACTCCATTACTAATGTCATCAATATCATCGTCGTCATCATCATCAACATGTTCTACCTCGAAAGATATTGATCACTGTGTAGATGGTGTTCAACAAAAGCAAAATAATAATAATAATAATAATAATAATAGAAATGGGATAATAGATAAGAATTATGTCATTAATAAATCAATCAATAATAAAACATCAGTAGATAATCATTTATTCAGAAATGAAATAAATCATAACAATAATGATTTAATTAATGTAAAATCTGAACGTAATTTCCACGAATTTAATCCTGTTCTACAAAATTTACCAATAGAATCTAATAATGGTAAAATGAATTTATTAGCCAATAGATTATTAGAGTCTGATTTAATCAACAGTAATAATAATAATAATAGTACTAGTAGTAGTAATGGTAATAATGATAATACTAACAATACTGTGAATAATGATAGAGATCATTTAAACACATTAAATAATAATGATTCTTATGGAATACAATCACAAAATGATGCAACAGTTCCTATGATGATGATGAATTCATCGTCAAGTTATCCGCCGAATTATTCATCAATGCTATTATCACATGCACAAAATTATTCGAATTACTTATCTAATAATATGAGCAATTCAAATAATTTATTATCATTTGATGTACATTCGAACAATCTGAGGTACAGTCATACTAACAAAGATAATAATAATCATAGTAATAAAAATAATAATCCGAATCAATTACATTATACATCTCATTCATATCCTAATATTATTACTAATCCAACTGGAAGACCAAATTCCGGATTTAATCATTCAATGGATTTTTCTACATCAGATGTAAATGATACTCCTGTTACATCATTTTCAACGATTCCATTACATCATCAACAGCAACATGATAGTTTGTCTCCATCTATACAACAGAAAACAGAATTACCATGTTACCTAACTGACCAATGGTCAAATATTACCCCTATATCAACTAATCAATTTACACATAATTTGAATACTATAAATCAGTATACTACATTTCCTTCAAGTTGGACAAATAAATTAAAAAACTTTAATTCTTCTATATTACAAAGAGATAATGGAAATATTGATTCATTGTCTGGTTCATCAGATGAAGATATTCAACATCATCGACATTCTCATCGGCATTTGGCATCAGAAAATGAGCAGTTTATGCATTGTTTACGAGGTTCTGCCTTGTTAAATCGTAATGAAGAAACAAATACTGATCAGTCATCAATTTTACATAGTGCTAATCATCAATTAATTTATAATCTTCCCAATGATATGAACAATCTGAATTATACACATACAGAGTTAGGCATACAAGAATCATTGAATTCTAAATCAATTTATCCAGTCCAATATGATCAACATCATCAGCATCATCATCACCATTCACAATATGACACTACGATCCCAACTGGTAATGTCGGTGATGCATGCACAGAAAATGATGATGACGGTTGTGATAATAATAATAATAATAGTAACGACAACAATAAAAGCAGTTTATCATTTTTTAAATCACCATCAACAGGTTTATTGACGAAATCTACTTCTATATTTCAATATCATAATTCATAAACAGTCATTAACTCTTCATGTTTTACTCCTCAAGTTTTTATTTTATTTTCTCTTTCTTTACTTCCCTTCCCTCTTCGTGTTTGTACATAAGTAAAAATTTGATATTTCATGAGACAGAAATCATTAAATATATATACATAAATATGAACAAATATGTAACTTTTATTAAGAATGATAATCCATTGAATAACAACAGTTACTATGAACACTACTTACTGCTCTTTTTCTTTCAAATGAAAACGTCTCTTTCATTATTCTTATTCTTTTAGTGTGTTTTATAAACAAATCAAATGGTTCTTTTGAAAAAGAAACAAAACAAACCTTAACACTAATTGGTTGTCGATAGACAAATATGTTTGGTTTCAGTTAGATTGTATAATCATTAGTATAAATTACAGAGTATAAACATAAATTGAAATGATTTGATAACTGCCAGAAATTTTATGTAAAATCTTTTTTTTAACGATAATATCACTATTACGTAATGTGTTTCCATAAATATATTTTTCTTTGGCATATTCGATAACAACTGACTATAAAAACAGTAAAATGTAATGAGATGAAACAATTTAATGAGGAATTATGTCACAAAAGAAGAATGAAACATTCAGTGACATATTGTATAATACACAATAATGATTATAATTGAATTGAATGATACATTAAGAAAATAAGAATGAAATTTCATTATTTGTTTGTTTGGTTTAAGGATTTTCGTTTGAGAAAGTTTTTAGTTTTTATCTCTTTATTTGTTTTTTTGTTTGTTTGTTTGTCTTATTTTTTTCTTCCTATCACAACTAACTTACTTCAAACGGAGAACAGGGTACTTACTATTAATATTAGTAACCATCACGGTTGTTGTCATTATTATTAATAATATGAATATTGATAAAGTTGGAAAAAATAGAGAACAGAATGGCTAGTGAATTTTATTATTATTATTAATTCGTTATTTTCATTATTATCAGTTTGAAATAAATTCATTCATTAACAAAATTGACTTAATTGTCTACATATTTATTTTGCTACTAGATACAAATATAAGTAGTTTAAATCAATTTAAGAAAATTTGTTATAGGTGCTACAGTGAGGATTGTTTAGTCAGACTAAAATATACGTTGACTTTGATTAACTATGGTAGCTTCTTTAGACAGAAAGAATATACAAATGAGTATACATCTAGTAGATGATAATCAAATGGATAAGAGAAAGAATTTTGGAGAAGAGATATAATGGGTCATTCACTCAAAATACATAAGAGTTTGTCTATTGCTTGAAATTGTTGTCGACAAATTGTGCATAGATGAATAACAAGGTTTATTACTTGAAGACAAGGATATCTTCTATAATTCCCTCTCTTTATATTATGCATATCACTTGGATTTAAACGTGACGGATATCAATATTTCTTGTAACTCGATGTCAGTTTTAGAACAAATGAAGAAATGCTAACTACTGAAGTACTTAAACGAGTAACAAGCTAACAAGCATGCAACCTTATAAAGAAACTTTCTCACAGTTTGTATACAGTAGTTCTTTAAATTTATTCCAAATTTTTGTTTTATTCAGTAAATGCTGAATAGTACCTATGTATATAAATAACTTACGAGTTTCTAAGTCATACAGCTATTAGATAAAATAACACTCATTATTAAATAAAATCTTAAAGTGCACACGTTGTCTAATATTTCATACAAATTACATTTTCATAATACGGTACCACTGTTATTGTTATGGCTTAATATGTTCATGTCATAGTTATATTGATTGAAACCTCATTTCTTCCCAGAAATATAAGATTATATGGTCACGAAAAAGGGAGAGCGTGTTCATAATGTCTAATAAAATAAATTATCTTCATATTTTTCCTAAACGTTCCATTTTGAACGAGGTTAAGCTTCATAAAAGTTGCTCTCCGTTTGTGTATGGAGATGTTAGGTAACGGGCGGAAATTAGCAGGAATTCTTGGATCAAGACTTCTTACTAGCTACCAGTAAATACCTAAAATGACCTAGTAAGACTAAAAAACACATGATATCAACAGGAACAAATTAAATCAATTATTTCGTGAAAAAATACAACGGAACTCTTAGTATCACTATCTATTCATATTATTAAAGGATATATTTGTATTAGATAAAATTATCCATAGTCCAGTCCATGAAAAATTCTCATCCCAGCACTATCTGAATACTCATAAATAATCCACAGAATGATACCACATCAGTCTAACTGATGTAGCCTATCATAAATTTAAATAACCGTAACATTAGTAGTTATTTGTTCTAACCCAGATATTTACGTACAATTTGTCATTTCTTTCATCTTATTGTGGTTTCTATAGTAGCTGTTCACTTAAAGCTATGTGTGATTAACGTTTCTCAGCAAGTCAGACTTCTCGATTTAGTCGGAACATTGAATCTATTGAACTGACGAACCAGTGTTTTTAGTCTACACAAGTTCTAAATGTATATAAATGACTATTTTAAAATTTATAAAAATTTTGTGGATTTTGCCGCCAAAACTCAATTCCTTCTACAATTAAAGTAACTTCAAAAACTAACAATTGAAAATTTCCTTTCACTACACTCGCTATTGTAGTGAGCGAGAATACAAGTGGGAACAATCGAATATATTTAAGCACAAAATTACAGAACATCTTACTAAAAGCTGAGAACCATGCAGTAAACACTTCATTTGCAAAATGTCAATCAATTGTATAAGAACTTGACTTTTCCTTTTACAGATATCAGTCAATCGTCTTAGACTTCATGTTCTTTTGTTTCCACACCAATCATTCTTTGTTCTCGTTCCTTTTGCTTTGATCTTCTTAACCTTCTCTCGCCAGACATTTCACTTTTGATTGATGATACATACTACTTATATCTGTCGACATCAAAGGGCACACACCACACTATGTTCAGGAAACGCTTCGTCCAATATATATTATGCTGTTCTAAATTATATCATAGAAGCCTGTTCTCTTTTGCTTGCTAGAACTACTTTTTAATATGACTGATAATTCACCTCATCAATTTAATGGTTTACTTCAAACGTTTAATTAAATTCTATTAACATTTGATTATTGATTTTCTGATTTTAAATAGCTCTGTTATGCGAAAATTTAAGATAATATTTTAATGCATATTCATAGTTGTTCAGTAATTTGGCCAACCAACTTAACATGTTTTCACTGAAGAAAATCAACGACAAACTTTGTGAACACCAATTAGATTCAAGCGATTGTGACATTATATCAATTGAAAATGAGTTAGACAGTAAGATATCTCCCAAGCGTAATGTGGCTGATTCAAATTGGTATCGTGAATCGCGAAAGAACGCAAAACATCCTTTAATTAGCCAGTATATACCACTGAGTATGAATTCGAATAATGCAGTTTCAAATGAAAAGAGTGATAAGAACGCCAACCGATTTATTTGTAAAGAGAAGGTAAAATTAGCTGAAAAGTTGAAAGTAGTAACTACAATGAATCAAAAAGTAGTAAGCTCTGAAATAGTTAACAATAGGGAGGTAAGAGCACAACCTACAGAAGAAGAAACCTGGTGTGGAGCAAGACGAATGAACGATGCATCTCAAAGTCCATCAAATACTTGTCAAAATCGAACTCATGAAAAGGAATATAAAGGGAGTGGAAAAGATAAACAAGATTATTCCCTCAAAAATAAACATTCTGAGTCAATAAAACTAGATGAACAACAAATAAAAGCAGCTTTATATGAATTGCAAAGACCATCATACCTACTAATCCCACTGTATTATTTATGTCAGTTATGTTGGAATTTTTGTCGTAGATATCCTATTCGAATCACATTACGCCACAAACAGAAACGGAGACCATTACAGAACATAGAAAGGATATGTGTAAAAAATACTTTAGGTTTGATTTTTGGGTTAAGCCTAGGATTCATAACATATTTCTTATTTATGATCACATTTTCAGGAAATCCACATTTATCCACATTATTAAGCGCTTACATCATGTTGATAAGTGTATATGGTTTAGCATTCTCTGGAAATTTTCAATGTATCACATTATTAACATTTCCATATATAATTGCTACACGTCTACGTTGGGCAATTTTAATCTATGCAACTGGTATGTCATTCAATGGACCTGGTTTAAATTTTCTACATAATTCAGGTAATTTTCGCAATTCCATTGTTTGTATCATAGCACAAGTGAATACAAATATGATGGTATTGAAAAAGTTAACTCAATCACCATTCATTGTATTGAAAGATCAATTAGAAAATATGATTGATGGTATTAACAATATTCTAAATACCTTAAGAAACTTATTATTTAAAATTAATTTCTCCATTATACAATTAACTAATGTAATGGAAAGTCAAGCTAGTTGGATAAATTCATTAATTATAGCATGTGAAGATAAAGTTTCTTTAATGAATCAATGTTTAGCTTTTTTTAATAATATTTACTTTAGTTGTGTGAATAGTTTTAAAATTTTAAGTAGTCTATGTCGTTTTATCAGATTTTTTGCTAAAGATACTTGTGTTTCATCAGAAAAATTTACAGATTTATGCCGAAAACAAAGTGCCGTACTTGAAGAGACACTGAATATTACAACAACAACAGAATTAACTAAACAACTTCATGAAATAATCCATTTGATTGGGAGCAAAAATTTAACACTTTATGGTAATTTAAGTAATATAGAAGTTATTTTCAATGATGATCATTATATATCAAATAAACTTCAACAAAGAATGGATCATTTTGTACAAGCTATTGATGTTGTGAAATTGATTTTAGCTTGGATTTTAGTAGTATGGACATTATTCACCATGTTGATATTAGTTATACAAGCAATTATATTTAAAAAGTGTTGGCTATCAAAGGACTCATATGATAATGTATATATAACTGATGAATTTATTAAACAAGTGAGTTGTAAATATAATTGAATAATAAATATCTTACAAATACATCACTATATATCATGCAACTTATTAGTTACACCAATTTACCATCATGTACTTATATAGCTTTTGTTGTGTCTTTATGGCCCGTCAATCAAAATACGAATTATTCGCTCTTATACTGTACTAAACTAATGACGTCCGACCAGTCTGATCAGCCTAGCGTCCTATTGGTCCGTAGATCGTCTAACTCATCCAGCTGAGTCCAGAATGCCAACAACAGCCTCCACTATGCGAATAATTTATTTCAGACAAATTAGGTTTATATACCAAACAAACAGACCGCAACACACCATAAAATAGGAAATAACATTCATACACAATAAAGCCAAAAAGTGACTGTGAACATGGGAGACGGTAATCAAATAAATGAGTATAATTTAAAAGCAGTAAATTGTATAATAATAATCTATAGGTCAAAATGAAGCTTATAATAAGGGGAATATATATATAATCTAACTACTGAAAAGTTATACCATAATATATAGATAATATTAATCCATTAATAGGTCTCAGAAGTTGCTTGTGATTTAGTCTTTGCTAGGATATGACAGTTTTCCAGCTTATTTTTCACTTAGGTTTCTTTATTTGACAAGATATACATATGTATTATTTTATAGGAATGAAGCGGTTGAAAATAAAGCTGATAAAGATGAATATTCTTGACACAATGTAAAGTTAGAATATTAAAATTTATAAAAAACTGTAGATTAACTTTATAAATTTGATTGAATGACAAGGTTTTTTAAATTATGTGATAATGATAAATCTAACAATGTTTCTAAATACAAACTCAACGACCTGATACTTCACAATCGATATATGATGAACAATTGACACAGAAAAGCTTTATTGATGACATTGATCATTTTCTTCTATCCTGGTCGTATTTGAAGTAAATGTAGAATATCCACACATATTGAGATGGTGGAGAAGATTTGCAGCTCAGGTGGATGATTTGGGTGGAGTTTTGTTCTCCGAGCTGGATGGTTTAATCGTGGAGCTTTCATCGTTCTTCTGAACGACATCATCAGCACAAACTTCAGATAGACTTCTATCTACCAAAATCCCCACATATTAGATTGATCATGGTTATACAGTATTATCTGGATATGAGAAGTAAACACTTTAGTAAAGATAATTTGTTAGTAATTCATGTTGATCGCATCATTTAAAGATTTGTTAACTTGAATAGCAATAACAAGGTTGTACTAGAATATGTTCTTGGTAAAATAATTAGATATCATCAGGTAATTACTAATTTGCCAACTGTTTTTCGTAATGCATATAAGGACTAAAATAGTAGTGACAAAAATAAGTCTGTGATGTTCACAAGTAAGTGATACGTGTTGATCCTGTGCTGTATAGATCCAACCTTATTTACAAACTAACCGAAAAACAGTAATTATACTATCAATTAATAATTTTACTGAAAAAGTAAATCTCTGAAACTTCGAATAGTAGTTTGGAATGTAAATATGATTTGATATACTTTGAATATTGGTACTTTATATCATATATTGCACACAGTTAACGAAGACTCCACATCATTTATTTTAGTACCTATGTAGAAAATTATTGACTAATATACTTTATTATAGATTAGAGATTGAGGTTATGAACTGGTTAGTATTAACTGACTGATTTGTGAGAGAATACACATTCTAAGCTTTGAAGAACAATATTAGTTATTTTATTTATTGTCTTACTGAAAGTTGTTCTTAAAATTTCATATATTTACAGACATCATCAATCAATCCTTTTTTTTCGTTTACCAATTTTTTATGTTTAAGGAAATACAAGCCTTCAAACGAGGTTTGGTTCCCACAGTTCCATTAATCCGTAAAGAAAAGAAATTATACAAGAAGTTATCAAGTTTCAGCTGGACTATATCAGAAAAACAATCTGCAGTTTTTAATTCTTTAATGCTTTTAACATGGAGTACTTCAATTATTCTAGTTATGATAACTGATTATGTAATGTATACAATTTTTAATATTATGTCAGTTTTATTTTTATATGATTATTCTGATTTTGGAAATATTACAGGAAAAGATGATGAACAAATAAATGAAGATGAAACAAATGAATTATATATTGATGGTGATTCAACATTTGCAAATATTGTACAATCATTGATTAGTTTAATGAATCCATTGAAAAATATTGAATTAAACATAGATGTAACACTTTGTCGACCAACATTAACTCCACCAGATTTATATAAATATGCTTTTATTTGCTTATTACTAAGTTTAGCATATTTTAGTGTTGTTTTTCAAGTGAGTAAATTGTGTAAGTTTAATTTAAAAGATAATTAGTATTTGGATGCAATTCATTGTTCAGTATTATCAGATAAAACAATCATAGATCTGTTGTTTATTGATTTTTTATAGTTTATAATACATTTCTAATTTATTATTTATTTCAATGGTTAAGATCATGAGTCAGTTGAAGCTAGACCACCATGGAAAACCTGGAAGCACTGGACGGCCGTTTCGTCCCACAATAGGACCTGAAGGTCTGATGCACAAGGCAGTAGAGCATCGTGAGGAGATGCAGTCCCATGGAAGCCGGTGACCAACAATTGGTTCATACGCCATTTGTTCCCTCAGGATACTGGAGCTCATGTGCACTATTGGTTTGGAATCCAGTTGAAGCGCCGGACATTCGCTTTTCGTCCTCTCATTTTCATAAACAACACCCTCGCCACGAGAAGGCAGTAAGTAGGACTTCCCCGGCAGAGGCTATATACGCGTGGTCATGTGAGAGCATTTGGAGAGGGAGAGCGGACTCTCCCCACTCTCGGCCATACCAGGGCAATTGGGGGCAGATCGAGACGAGTGTTGTTGGATGTGGAAACTCTCCCGCGCCGGGAGTCGAACCCGGGCCTGTTGGGTGAGAGCCAGGAATCATAGCCGCTAGACCACGCGGGACAATTAATTAACTTAATTCATATTACCAATCATCCTTAGTAAATCAAATTTTCAAGTTGATTGGTTAATATTGTTACCAATTAAAATTTCATATCATTGAATAATAACTAGTCATTTGTCAAGATCCTTGTGAAAATCTACTTAGTTTGCAATTCTAATGTCTTCATAGAGAGTGTAACATATTCTGAATGTCAAAATGCAAGCTTTTCAGTTACTAAAGTAAAATAGGCAAATCTTGTACTGGAAGAGCAGATTTTTATTGATCAGTTGAAAAGATACACGAATAAGGGTTTGAGAAAAATAATGTAAATTTATTTCGTCTAGTCAAGTTTACACTGATTTTCATCAAATTCAATATATCAATATCCAATTACAGTGAATAGGCAATAAACCTTAACCCATTTAAAGGAAGTTAATATCAAGTTTAAAGCAGTGTGGTGTATGGATAACAATTCACACTCATTTGATGAGTGTAAAATAGATAGAAACACTTATTGTTGATTTCACTGCTAGTCTGGAGCTATTACTAGCTAATGATATGAGAGGACATGATAAGCCTAAGAATTACAAACGTGATGAACTAAGTCATCATGATAAGTACAGGTAACTGGTATTCTCATATGAAGTTGTAAACCTAATCTTATGTAAATTGGTAAATGCAAATAAAAAAAACTAGAAGGATACATTGTTTTCAAGAATTTACAGAAGTACGTTTAGATTTGATCCAAACATATCTTTGCTTTCACTTGAACACAATATTAGTTAAGTTAATTTTGTACCATCATAAGTTCATTTAACATAGAGTTAGGTTTTTTGTACTACTTAAATCCGGTTCTATTATGAGAAAGCATTAAAACACAGAACTATAGCCATCTAATGAAAATACGATTTGCATATAAAGAAAATCATTGATAACCCACTGTTACTGAATTGTATCATGACAACGAATAAAAAAAATACTTATTGAAGATCTATAGAATGAAAGTTCTCTTTCTACTTATAACTTTTTTTAGTATATTTCAAAAATATTTTTTTCTAGAAACAAAAGCACTAGAAAACATGTAGAATACATTGATAGATCGTCCTCAAATTTTATCCATTGAAATTTGAAGTAATTTATTTTTTTACTTAATTATGTACTAATTGTCATCATATTCAGCTTATAACTTAATATGATGGCAGGCAATCGAAGTAATCAGTCACTAACTCATTTTAACATATTGTGATCAACATCTGAAACACGTTGTTAATGCAAAGTATCTGAAACACCAGGGACATCTGTTTAAACACTAATCTTCAAAGCTCTAATATATAAGTGAATTATAAATAATAGTAGTTAAAATAAGATGGTGGTTGGTGGTAGTCAACAGGAAACTCTGGACCTTGGTTTCGTTCTACTTGACACTCGTCAGCAAGGTGTACCTGTACAGTTGAAGGGACTGGTGCTCCCTGACTGATTCGATCCCATATCACCCAACTTCATAGTCAGAGACTTTAGCATTGAGCTATCTGGGTAGCAACCACCTCCAACGATCATCTTATTTCAACATAGTGCACGCAATGTCGCATCATCTATACTAGTAGTCACATTGCAACTTGGTCGATAGGATTCGATCTGCACTAAGAAGGACCTGACATACATGACACTGATCATCACCCAGTGATCAACCAATTGTAAATTAGTAGTTAAATTTTAATTTAACTTATTTACACAAACCTTTATGAGTAACACAGTGGTGAGTTTATTGTAATGGCGAGGGGGCACTGTAACTGAAGATATTCCTTTAAGTCAGTCAGTCAGTCAGCTACAACGTAGGACCAGGCACATATGTGCATCGGTCCAGGTTGCCATACCTCATTAGCACAGTAAGATGAACAGCGGATTCATATGCGTGGTTAGGTCAAAGATTGCAATAAGGATATAGTATAGCAAGAAGGAATTAGTTCGTAGGAAGAAAGATATCAAGTGATTTTAATCTAGTTTAAGGGAAGACAGGGAGTGTATACACCGACGCCATCGTGATCGATTCTGAGCCATGTCACCAAGAGTCTCCAACCATTGGTTACGAAAGTCACGCGGACCCCAACCAAGTAGTCTGTATCTACCAACATGGCTCAGACTAGAAGTTAGTGACTTCAAGCACTGATGCCACGTTTTGGTTTGGCCGCCTCTAACTTTCTTCCAACCATCTCCAATACCGGATAGCATTGCACGACGTGGTAATCGGTGTTCAGACATACGTAATACGTGGCCCAACCATCTCAGTCGATGAAGATTCATAACCTCATCAACTGATTTACCATCATTCCGTAATACCCTGCGTCTAACCTCACTATTACTTACCCGTTGATCCCAGCAGACTCCAGCAATATTTCTAAGGCATCTGTGGTCAAATACTAATAGCTTACGAGTGTCTTCTACTCTTGATGGCCATGTTTCGCTGCCGTAAATTAAAACAGAACGAACTGCCGCTCAGTATACTCGTCCTTTTATTGATAGACGGATATCTCGCCTCCGCCAAAGGTGACGTAAGTTGGCAAAAGCCAATCGAGCCTTTCGAATCCGTGCTGAGATTTCATCAGACACCAATTCATTAGGGCTCACCAGACTTCCAAGATAAGTGAAGTTGTCAACGCGTTCGACTACTTCACTCCCTATCCTTAGTTCAGGTGTTGACCCAGACCAGTCCTGAAGCAACAACTTGCATTTAGAGGGAGAGAAGCGCATCCCAAACATTCTGGCATTGTTGCTTAGTGCTACCAGAAGACTCTGCATTTTGTCAGCGTCTTCACCAAACAGGACTATGTCATCTGCGTATTCTAAGTCGATAAGTGGACCTCCTGGAAGGAGATCAATACCCGAGAATTCAGTCGACGAGAGTGTTATTTCCTTCAATAGGTCTATGATGAAGCTAAACAGAAATGGAGAAAGTGGACAGCCTTGACGGACACCACTTGAGGTTGCAAAAGTAGATGACAGTTCGCTATAAGCTCTGACTCGACTTGTAGTGTTCGAGTGAAGAGCCTTCACAAGGTTTATGTACTTCTGAGGTACGCCTTTCAATGACAGACACTGCCACAGAGTCTCGCGGTCTACAGAATCAAATGCTGCTTTTAAGTCAAGAAAGACCACCATCGTCGGACGCCGATATGTATGCCTGTGTTCTAGAACCTGACGAATGGTGAATATGTGGTCGATGCAACCACGACCAGGTCTGAAGCCAGCTTGGTTCTCTCGAGTTTGTAGTTCACGAGTCTTAGTTAGGCGTTTGATAATTATCGAGGCCAGTATTTTAGATACTATGTTTGTTAGACTAATCCCTCTGTGGTTGTCACAGGATGATTTTGACCCTTTCTTATATATTGGGACGATAAGTGATTGCGACCAGTCAGATGGGATAAAGTCTAATTCCCAGGTCTTAGCTAAAATATTAGTCAACCTAATCGCTAAAATTGGAGCACCATCCTTAAAGACCTCTGGAGCCAATCCATCTGGACCAGCTGCCCTTCCTCGTTTCAGATTAACTATAGCCTTTTGAACTTCTGCTAGAGTTGGGGGACCTACTTCAATGTTCCATTCACACTGTCTGGGAATAGAGGGTAGTTGTACAGTAGCTGAAGGCCAGCTGAACTGTTCTCTAAAATGTTCCGCCCATCGTTCTAAACGCCTGGACTGGGAGCAGATGAGAGTATCATCTTTTTCCGAAATAATCTCACTTACACTTGACTTATTAATTCCAGTTTCTTTTATTAGTCTGTAAAGCTGTCTTGTGTTCCCTATAGTCGCCGCCTTTTCCATCTCTTTTGCTTTCGTTACCCACCACTGCTCACGGTCGTTCCTTAGACTTTTTCTTAACCTAGATCTGATTTGTTTTCGCTCTTCATCATGTTCAGAACCTGATGGGACGAGTTTACGAGAATCCATCAGTGTGACAGACCTTGAAGAAATCCACTGGTTCCTTGCAACTCTGTGGTTTAAGTCACTAATAGATGTCACTGCTGTTTCCACAGCTGATTGTATGCCCTTCCAAGCAACATCTGGGTCAGCCTCGTCTTCACAACTACCTAAGTGTGACCTCAGTTGTTCCTGGAACCTACTTTTGATTTTCTCGTTACTCAACTCAGTTCTGACGGGTCTTTTTAATGTGGCTTTTTTGCGTCCAGTGAGGCGCAAGCAGATGCGTGCCCGTATTAGGGCATGGTCGGAGTCCAAGCAGGTACTCCAGAATGAGCGACAATCTTCTACCGACCCTCTCCAACGATGACTGATGGCAATATGGTCTATTTGAGTCCATCGTTGGTTTGGTGTAGGGGGTCGCCATGTTAGACGATGTCTCTCCTTATGCTTAAAATTTGTGTTTGCTAAAAATAAACGATTGTCTGAGCATAGCTGCAGCAGACGATCACCATTATCTGTTCGCTGTGTCGGAACACTGAAATATCCGCCCAAATGCCTTTCTGTTTGGTTTAAGCTACCTATCTGAGCATTAAAATCACCTGCTACGAGTACTATGTCTGAGCGTTTAGCTTTCTGAAGATATTCCTTTAAAATTCATAGTTCACATTAGCTTTATTAGAATAATTTATATTTTATAGTTACACTATTAAGTAACAATATTAGACCTGTTCAAACCAGTATTTTTCAGAAGAATAAGTGACTTTAAATTTTAATGAAGTTACATTCTGCAAGTTGTGTTACGATTCTGCTGTGAAATATCAGATGTTCGTTTGTTAGTGATTTGTAGCTTATTTCTGTGTGAAGTTTGTATTCATAAAATCGTTTAGATAAACAATAAAATTCTGAATTTTCATTTTATAATAGACATTTCTTCAGGAGTCTTCATAAATAGGGTAAAAGATAAGTAAGATATTTTGTCAACATAAGTGTAGAGTTGAATATAATACAACGATCGACAAAACATCAATTTATTTATTAATCGTTCTGTGGATCTTGTTTTATTTACCATACTTCGCTTCTTTACTTGATTTCCTGCTTTATTGTGATTCATTTCTTAAGACATGATTGATTTTTAGAAGCATGCGAAGAAAAAGAGACTATGTGTCTGGTATTTAGTGCCTTCCGGTAGTATATAAGGAACCATGAGGTTAGGTTTCGTTCTAGCTGATACTGATCAGAAAGTCTTACTTTCACTTTGAAGGGAACTACTGTGTTCTTAGATTCGGAAGCAGGAGTACCTTGAATCACAATCTGGGAAGTCACTCCTGAACTACTTACGGTCTAGCCTCAATATATGTCAACAAATTAACATTAAAACACAGTATACGCGATGTTAACTCACTTGTACTAGTAACTACATTCTTACTTAAGTTAGTTAAAGTGGAACAAATAAAAATTAGGAATCAACATGTCCTGATGTGTAAAGGTTTTAACCGGATTATACAAATACTCTAGCAGGTGCTTGTAAAATTGAGAAATCCTAGAGATGTCCAAGTCAAGTCATGGTGTTGACATACAAAGTCAGGAGTAAATAAAACGTAGCATCGGATTACTAGTTTCTTAGTTTTATAGCCCTGGTAATAACTTGTTTTGTCATAAAGTAGGCAGAGAGAACCGGTGTACTTTAGTAGGGAGTTCTGTTCCGCAAGATATCATTTGTTATTAAAGAGTGAACTCCATGTTCTCAGATTTGTCACTGTCCTTGGTAATGGCATTTACGATATAATTAAGGTAGAATTTGTGCACAATATAATCTTTCATCACAGATTTTTACCTTAATTAAACTGTTATTATTATTTTCTTAGGTGTATATTATGCGTTTGCGACATGTCATCATGATATGGTACTATCCAAAGACAGCAGCTAGACGTGCAGCCTGGCTTCGTATACATATAAGAAATAACCGTGGCTTATATAATCGTATTATACACAAAATTAAAACAATAGATATCGCTTCAAATCACCGATCACAAAATTTGTCACGATTTGGAAGATATTTATGCCGTAATCCACGTGTAGCATATTTTCTTAAGTTATTCGGAGTTCAACGCATTATTTGTACATTTTGTGGTAGTGATGGGAATCCATCAAAAAAAGTTGAATTTAAACAGAATTTCACACGTTGTGAAGAATGTGATGCTTATTTTTGTCGTGCATGTCAAATAGCCTTGAATCATATATGCTTATTATGTCGTACACCAATGTTTTCTATGTCTGTTGAAGTAGATTTTGAACATTATTCAACAGATGAAGAAAAAGAGTATATCAATGCACGCTATTTACAAATAAATAAGCACAGTTCAGTCATATCTTCTGATAAACTTACCGACATATAATGTTTGTACAAATGGTCCTAATATTCAAAATTACAGAACTCGAAAAATTATTTATTTCAACAATATGACAACAATCTGTTATAATATGTATGTTAAATATTTAAAAAAAAACCAGCAAACATGTTAATAAGATGTTTTCTATTATCAAACAAAGCTATTCTGTCTTGTAAGAATATTAAAAATTTGATTCATCTTTGAGATACTGTCATGATTCCAGTAAGTGAGTTGTCCTAAAACTATCTATGTTTCATCTCGAAAGTTATATCTAAGTAATTTTAACAACTCAGTTTCAATCAATAAATTGTAGGCCCAAACCTATCTCATTTACTCTAAGAATGCTTCATAGACTTAAACACAACAGCATATGTATTTTCTTTTCCCTAACAGTATCGTATCATAACTAAAACAGATGATCTATGAACAACAGAGTAGTTTGGTTAATCAACCGAAGTAGAATAAATGTACATGTGTAAAGGAAAAATATGACTAGACTGCTATGTTTTGTAAATAACTTTTATTACAGTAGCTAGCAAGAGTTAGTAAAGAGCAAAAACCATGTAGTAAACCTACTTTTATGACTATATATATATCATAAATACTACAAAACCCCATTATCTTTTAAGTAAAAAATAAACATAATGATAATTATTTTAACCGACTAACAACTAATAAATGCTTCTAAGCAGAGATGAATAGTGGCTAGCAGTGGAATCAAGGACGCGCGATACATCCTATCTGGGACTTGTCGATTGAATACCCGGCGCTTTAACCAAGTCGGTGGATATGCAGGATCTATCTAGGAGAGTTGGAAAACCCTGGTTCCAAACCAATAGTGCACATGGGCTCTAGGATCAAGAAGGAACAAATGGCATACGATCTAATTATTGGCCACCGGCTACCATGAGACCGCATTTCTTGACATCGCTTCACTGCCTTGTGAATCAGATATTTAAGTCGAAGGTTTCGGGTGCTACCCCCCAAGAAAACCACCTGCTTCGGTCTGGGCACCTGGGTCTTATCACAGCCCACACACAAATCAAGTGACTTGTGTGGCAAATATGTATTCGGTGCCCCTATGTACCTTCATGCACTGACAGCATCCGAGCTGCTATCCACTCTGAGACTCGAACCCAATGCCTTTCGCGTCAAATGCCATCACTTAGCTACTGAGTCCGGATAGTCATTGACCTATGCAATTTGCTAAATCTTAATTTTCATCCCTATATATTGGCTGTTTTGATCTTCTCAATGATGTTTAGGACTGTAATTGATCCGTTCTAAACATCAATACGATGACTCAAACAATCAATACATAAGGATGAAAATTAATAAATGCCTCATTTATATTTTGTAGAAAAAGATTACTGAGATCCTTGCTAACATTGATATGGTACATCATATTGAGTATTGAAGAACAAGCGTTGTCATAAACAGTCATATTATTGATACTAGCCCACATTCACATATGTCTACACATAAATATTAATAACTAGATGACATCTATAAATTGTAGTGCATCCAACTCAGATGACCACCATCAAAGAGGGTTTGCTTACTATGTGTAAGTGAACCAAGAAAATCTAAATTAATCCTTATCATCTGTTGACCAACACTTACATGCTATGTGTTTATTGCTTATTAAAAGTCTATGATAAAATGACATTGTAATCAATGAATAATTTTTCTCTGGTGTAAATAAAATCTAAAATATGTGGAAAATGACTTCATGAATTAATTAAAAAATCCCTTCATTGAAACTAGATTCTTTGATAAGTAAACTTTGAAGTACTTGAATTTTTGAAGTATATCAATTAATTGTTTTCATAAACATCTAATCAACAGATTAGTTTAATTGTATGGGAAGATATATTTTTTAACAGTCTAGCAATATTCAGAATGATATGTTGTCAGAGTATGATGTATTTGCTCAGTACTAATGGAGACTGAAATACCAGTTAAAAGTGTCTGTATTGTAAGTGGAAGTTGAGCAATGGTAAGAATTGAAGGAAGTAGTAAATACAGACAACTGGTAACCGAATGAGTTGTCCAACGATATTATGTGCTTTCGAGCCAGGTATGTTCTGCTTTCAATTTCGTACTGGACTGTGGGTGCATGATGTTATCGAAAGAAACGGCTTTTCAGGGATCTTTTGTGTTTAGAATGTCTCCGCTGATGAATTAAATATTTGCAGTGAATAAACTAAACAAATCTTCTGACTAAATAAGGACTTTTTCTTAGACAACATTAATTTATCTACTCACCCCTAGTCTTTTTATTATCTGATAAAAACAAATCATTTGAACAATTAATGACTTCAGAGTAATAAGAAAGATTTTGTTAACTGCTATGACTTCATAATACACATTAAATGCCCCATAGGACCCTATATAAAGTACATTGGTTTTTCAGTGAGATGTGTGGTCGTAACATCAATCACTATTTTTTATGTCCCACGTCATTTACTAAAACTTTGTATATTATAGACGACAGACGTTGGCAGAATATTTTGATATCATTTGGTTGTTCAATAATTATTAGTGATGGTCAGTTCTGTTAATCCTAAATGACTAATAAGTTTACGGAGCATACTAAACGGTTTTACTTAATTACGCCTGTTACTCCTCGTGAAACAGCATAGGCCGCTCATCAGCATTCGCCATCCAACCCTGTCCTGAGCAATCCTTTCCAACCCTTTCTAGTTGTTATTCATCCTTTTCATATCCGATTCTATTTCCTGATGTAATGTGTTCTTTGGCCTTTCTCTTTTCCGCTTCCATTCAGGATTTTAAGTTAGGGATTGCCTCGTGATGCAGCTTGATGATTTACGTAATGTATATCCTATCAATTTCCATCGTCTTTCCCTAATTTCCTCCTCAGATGAAAACTAGTTTGTTCTCTCCCACAGAACGCTAGTGCTGATAGTATCCGGCCAACGGATATCGAGTATCTTACATAGTTAATTGTTGATAAATACTTGTACATTTTTGGTGATTCTATTAGTAGTTCTCCAAGTTTCAGCTCCGTATGGTAGAACTGACTGTCATAACATTCGTCTTGAAGATCCTCACTTCCATATTGGTTGAAAGTTGTTTTGAGTTCCATATGTTCTTCAATTGTAGGAATGCGGTCCTTGCTTTGCCGGCCAATCCTCATATTTACGTATGCATCTGAACCTCCTTGTTCATCGATGATGCTTCTCAGGTATGTGAACGATTCTACATCTTCCAGAGTTTCGACATCAAGAGTGATTGGATTGCTGTTCTCTGTGTTGTATTTGAGGACCTTGGTTTCCTCTTGTGTATGTTGAGGCCTCCCGATGCAGAGACTGCTGCTACATGTGTTGTCTTTATCTGCATTTGTTCGTGTGTATGAGATAGGAGGGCTAGGTCATCTGTGAAGTCCAAATCGACAAACTGGTTCTAAGTTGTTTATTGTATTCCATGATTTCCCTCAGATATCGAGGTCTTCATAATCCAGTCGACCAGCAGAAGAAAGAGGAAGGGAGAGAGTAAACAGCCTTGTTTGACTCCGGAAAAAACGCATCTAGCATTGATAGACTGGATGAGTACAAATATGACATATTTTACAAACATTGAAGAGATCGCATGACTGAATGCCACTGGTAGGTAAGTTGCTGAAACTAGTCTTGCTCTTCATGCAAATTAATTATTCATGTTGCCAAGATCTCTACTCGCATATCTTTATCTGGATTGTTAAAATATTTATAAACGTATAATGTGTGTACAGTTTTCGGGACCAAACCTTTCTAACAACTATCACTCTTTCCAATTCCATATTAGTTAGATTAAAGATCTAAAGTAGCATGTGTTCATTGTAACCGATTTAGACTCAAAAATTATAAGAATTTTCTATTCATTCTTGAAATTTATTTTTACTTTAATTATACGCTTCTTAACGTTGATGTACAATAATACAAAGTTTTCTTATTTCAAAATGATAACATTTTCATAAATTTCAACTTTTGAAATCGAAACCATCTTTGGTTTCTTTTTCAACTTAACATTTGAAACATACTACTATTATAACCCGACTGAAGCTGCTACCTTGACGCGGTGGCCGGGCTTTCCTATCGTGATGACCCAACCGAGCTATATTGGCTGGAACATATGTTCCTGTAGGTTCTACCATGCCAGGCAGGTCGATTGGTGAACGGTAAGACTAAAAGCAGCAACTCAAGGTCTGAGGGCGAAGTCGTACTGCTGACTGTAGAGAGGTGTGACAGCAGTAAGGTGTTTCCCTCGAACAACCAGCATGACAGCGATGCTGCTTTCCCACAAGGAGGGGTGGGGTTAGAAAAGGTCGACCCTAAAAATGTCACACCTCACCTTACCTCACGGATCTCCGTCTCCGGCGGTAAGGCCCTTTGAAGAACGGAGCTAACACGTCAAAAACCTTCCACAAAAAGGCCGTGCGCGTCCGGCCTCAAGCAGTTGTCTCTTGGGCTCTGCGGTCACGCTCCCAGGTCGTTAAGACCAACACTAATCCAATTTCCTTTTCAGGTTCCTCAAGAAATACCCTTCCACGGTGTGGGCAGCCGGGAAGTGATATCAGCCCTCATACCCGTAACAGCACACGAGACCAAGTTGGTCACATTCAAATCCTTCCTACACCTCCTAATACCTCTCTTATCTCCATGACTAACCCTCCTCACATCTCTTTATCACCTCGAACCGCTAGAGCAAACGATTTGAGTACGTGGGACGCTATTCCTGGTCTCCTGAAACCACGCTCTAAACTACACGTAGGAGCTTTTAACGTACGAACACTGTGCAAAATAAAACAGCAGGCTTCCTTGGCTAGGACTTTAGAATCTCGCGCCATCGATGTGTGCTGCGTCTCCGAAACGCGCATACAGGATCCAAGTACCGTCATTCATTTGACCTCACCATGCCAAAATAAAGAACCGACTCGATTTACGCTTCGTGTATCTGGAAGCCCTGATTCTGCTTCCCGTGGCCTCGCCGGCGTAGGTATAGCATTGAGTCCTAGGGCAGAACTAGCTCTCTTAGAGTGGATCCCAGTAGACAGTCGTTTGTGCGCTGTCCGGCTGAACGGAACAGTAAGGATCCCAAAAGATAGGGACACTCGTCGTTGCCTCTTCGTCGTCTCTGCCTATTCTCCCACTGACTGCAGCTCAGATGATGTAAAAGATGAGTTTTACAGAAAGCTTTCGGACCTTCTCCGAAAAGCTAAG